CACTGACTGAATGAACGTGCCAGATTTGTTCACTGTAATCGTATATCGTACACATCTGGCGCAGTCGAAAAATTACGGTACTTTCAAATACATATTTGTATTATATGTATATGTGAATGTCAGTTTGTAGGTATACATATATGTATGTTTGCATGTACTACTATGTCGCTTATGTTTAGCATATCCTGACCGGATGTGTGTAATTTAATGTTGCTACTCCATTGTCGTTTATGTTGTGCAGACCACGTAGAGTAGTTCTCATATTCATTCACCACATCAGTCGCCGACATAGGTATAGCCGCCTCGCCCTCTTCCACGCGCCTGCCGTGTACTCCACTTTTGCTATTAAAATAGCCCATCTTCTAACCTTTAGATTTTAGTAGACTCTCGGTTACCCGGCTGGAGTGTTGTGTCTGTCGGCACAGTTGTTGTTATTGTCAACGCATTAGTTCCTATCTGAGGCATATTGTGCGTGCGGTTGCAACAATCACATGCTCTTACATACAACAAAATGTACAACTGAATGGTTGTTGTAGTACTTAAATAGTGTTGCACGTTCTTAAACACCAACAACACACGCACAAATATTCATACGTGTATATACTTTACTCATAAGTGAAGATACTTTGCTTCTTTGGCATCTTTAGGCCCCAAACGAGTTTATCAAGTGTTTTCCATGCTATATCAATGTGTATGTGTGTGTGTGTGTGTGTGTGTGTGTGTGTGCTGTGCAAAATAAACGTAGACCGAATGTTGTGAACAACAAGTTTACCATAAAATAACAAAAATTGCACAAAACATGTGTCCGCCTTTAAAAATTTATTATTGTTGTCATTATTAAATTGATGTAATTGCGGTCGCCCTATAAAATGAATAACATTTTCATTTATTCCTTCAATTTTCATACCTCGTCTGGTGGTACGACCACAGTCTGTTGCTGAAGAATGGCAAACATGCCTGAGTGTGCTTGACTTTGGATGGTAAACTTTCTAATTTCATGGAATCTCAAATTATTTAAAATTTTTTTCAAAAATCGATGTTATCAGTTGGACAGCATGTGTGAGCTTAACCGGTGTTTTCCACTACATATGCACGCGCTGAAGTCGCTGCAAGAGCAGGTGGGTGCGTTGCATGATAAAATTGGCTTAGGAAAATTATTACTTTTATATGAATTGCCTGCGAAAAGAGATACTTTTGGTTGACCATAAAAGAGCGAATTTGTAATTTACAGAATTTAGTCTCGAATGCCGAATTAAATAATCTTTTCAAACAAGGTATGGGCTTTCAAAACAAAAGCTATGCTCGTAGCAATTTTGCCAAAAAAAAAAAAAAAAATTATGCCTTATGATATTTTATATATAGTTACTTAGGTCTGTAATAATAGACCAAAAATACTTAAGCGATTAACAAGTAGTTTTTTTTAGTTATGAAATCTTTTTTAGTTTTAGGGTTTCCCAATAAGAGATATTCAAAGAAAAATTACACTTTTTGAGATATATGATCGGATGTCTATATCAACGTAAAGAAGAGGAATTGGCCGTAATAACGGAAAACCATATAAGCCATATGACCGTCACGGCTACGCTACCAAAACCGTATTGTTTTTATGAAATTTTTCATCATCAAATCGTAAAGTTGCTGCTGCAAACCCTAAGTAGCTTCCGGAATACTAATTTTGGCGTATTGAAACGACGTTGTACTATTGGCGTGTACCTCATCTTTCATGCAGCTCCAAAGGAAGAAGTGACAAATCGTAAATTCACAAGAAAAACGGGAAATTACACAATCCGTATTCATTGCTTGTGTAGCACAAAGCGTCTTCTTGTTGAAAGTAAACATTGTCCAGATCAATTCCTTCTAATTCCGGACACAAAAATAAAATCATTAATCATCTCACGATAGCGTAATCCATTCAACGTCATTCTGGCTTTAGCCTCGTTTAAAAAAAAGAGAGTTCAAACGAACGTACCGGACCATAAACCCCACCAAACAGTTCCACGTTGAGGATGAAAGGCTTTTCAATAATAAATATTGGGTTTTCAGATCCCCAGATACACCATCGATGTGGAAATGGGCCTTCTCAGTCAGGATGACTCCTCGAAGAAATTTCGGTTCATTTTCATGTGTTTCAAGTACCCAATCAGCAAACACCCGACATGGCTTTTGCACGACCGGCTTGAGTTCTTGTGTCAACTGAATTTTATAAGACTTAAAACCTGAGTATTTTTGCAAAATACGGTGTAATGTCGTTTGTGGAATGCCCGATTTCAAAGTACGACGTGGAATGGACAACCCAGGATTTTCTTCAACACTTTGGTGACAGCAGCAATATTCTCATTTGTTATTGAGCGCCGTGCATTTGTTTTGTTCTTCACATCACTAATTTGTCCATTTTCCTATATTGTACTCATTTAAAATCAAGTTAAAAAGGAACCGAGGATCTTAATTGTTACCAATAAACAAATCTCAGTCCTAACTTAATCGCTAAGACGTAATTAGAATTAAATTTTCTATCCAATTTAATAGTAATTTTGGCAGATTTCTTTATGTATTAGATTCTAAAATACTCATTTCTTTTACTTTTTAATTGCAATTTAGTCGATTACATTAATCTTTATTATTTCTTATATTTTCAGGTTAGAAAAAAGTGCTACTCTAGTGTTCAAGCTCCAATTTGTAGTGAGAAAAATTAGGTTTTAAGTGCTTACAGTGCAGATAAGGAGGACAGTTGCAGTGTTTGCATCGAATCTATCTACATCTACTTATATTTTAATATAACCATTTTATTTGTACAAAAACATATGTATATTCCTTCCAAAAATCAGGGTAAAAAATATTAATTTTTATAGAAAACTAAAAGATAGCAAATAATACTGAAATACACAAGTCTCCTCCTCACCAACAATTTATTTTATATATTTTCATATAATTTAATATTTTGTTTTATTTTAATTTTAATTACATTTAATTGCATTAAGTCTAATTTATTTTAATTTAATTTGATTTAATTTTATTTAATTTAATTTTAATTTATATTTTTTATATGAATTATTTTATTCTATTTTACTTTACTTTATTTTATTTTATTGTATTTTATTTGTTTTCATTTTATTTTATTTTATTTTTTTTTTTTATTTTTTTTTTTTATTTTTTTTTATTTTATTTTATTTTATTTTATTTTATTTTATTTTATTTTATTTTATTTTATTTTATTTTATTTTATTTTATTTTATTTTATTTTATTTTAAGTTAAATATTATTATAATTCAAAAATATTATATTATTGTTTATTTAATAATGATTACGTTTAATTATTCCGTTAAGCATCATCAAAACATATAAATGTTGCCCAAAAATCATTGAAACCTGCAAGAGAACAAGCCGGACTTAGCTTTAAACGTTTACATTACATATAAGCCAGAAATATATTATTTTACGTTATGTTTTATCAACAACACATCGGTATTAAAAATCCCATTTAAAAAGTTATCAAATTTTTTTATTATAATAAAAATTTAATTCTTTTTCGCTCTATATATAAATCTAAAAAACATTAAGAATTCTTATTTCAATTCTAAAAGGTCACACCTATTTTTTATTTATTATTATTATTTTGGTTATAAGGCTTTTTGTAAATCTTTTTATTCCTAATAGTAATTAAAAAATGTTGTTAATTGATTTAAAAAATTAATTTAAAAAAACACATCGAATTAAATCGTTTTGATTGTTTCGAAGTTTTTACAAATTAAAAAATGATGAGCTCAAATTGAAAAAACGATCATCTGTATTTTAAATATTTCCAGCCGCCTTTTCTACCAAATGTTCTCCCCACTAACTTATAACTAAAAAATTATTAGTACAATAATAATAGTCGCAAAAACAATTTTGACATAAACGTACATATGTTTTTTGTGGAAATATCCTAGGGATTGTTATGATTTCATGAGCGAGATGAGCCTCAAATCAATTTATGTCGATAACTTCAAATTAAAAGTGTGAAATGATTTAACAAAGTCTCTTTGTTGGAACACAAATTGGATTTTTGGGTTTTGAGATTTTTGTCGCTAAGCCTTCAACAGAAGTGCCAACAGCAGATATCAGATGAAACCGCGTATCTGTTCATTGATCGAGGTAAACAGAACCTAGTAATTACTCCTGCTCTATTAGAACTCCTTAGCATTACGGCCGACGTAGAAACTTAGCAGTATTTTATCGGTACTCATGGCAAAGGATGGGCTGCTCCACCAAAGAATTTTGCCGCGGCTGCAGATACAACGATGAGGAGGAATCGGTGAAGTATTATCTCCTTATCGGTTTCTCGGTAATGCCTTATTAGATTCATATTACTTAGTTTGAACATTAGAAAAGGTGAGAAGAATCTCCTTAACAGGAGCAGCACAGGTAAAAGAACACGTCAGTAACCTTAAATGCGCTTGATGAGGCTTCCAAATGCAGCAAAAAATTTTCTTCAAAAATGCTTAAAAGTTGAAATATACATATATAAAATCTATAAGATCTTCAGTCGTTTGCTATGATTTACATAAAAATTTACTTTAAAGCCTGCAGCGACTATTGGAATACAACCAGGTGCAAAATGAGTGTTCTTTGCGACATATTGTTAGTTATTTCAACCCAATTATACATTTTTACGGCAAATTTAAATAGAAAGACAAACTGATAGTAGAAATGTGCGAAATAATACGAAAATATATTCGCACAAATATTATTTATTTTAATTACATTTTTTCATACACCAATTTTATTTTTTACAGACACATAATTATTTTTCATAGGTATTAAATATTGTAAATTTTCTTAGTAAAATTTTATCGATATTAACACCAAAAATTAACAGCATGTCTGATTCAATTGAATATTAAAAACATTGAGGATTGCAGACCGACTTAACGATAATCATAAAAAAATATAATATTCTGTGTTGAACCCCAAAAAAAAACTGCCGCCTACTAATGAATAAAAATGAATGCATTTTGTTTTACCTCTTCATCACCGCGCAGCTGATTGTCCAGCGTTGAGACATGTTCGAAAAATGTCCAACTTAAATTTTCCGCGCTACGCGGTAAGAAAGGTAAATTTGTAGAATTTTCACGTCCTTGATTTACCAACAACTGATCAAACACTTTTTGCTGTTTCTTCGTAGTGGGAATTTTAAGTGTACTATTACTCGAAGAATGCGGTAAATTTTGATTTGGTTGCTGCTGATGTTGCTGTTGTTGTAATTGTTTCGAGGTTGAAGTGTCTAAATGAAAATCTAAAATATCTGCAGCAATGTCGATGGTATCATACACCATGGCAGAGAGAGCCAAACGCGCGTATGGGCGTAAGAATGCTGACGCACTATAGAATGGAATTGAACAGAAATAAAATTAAAGAAAGATATTTAAGTATGTTTGTCTGTTGTGCAATTAATGCCTTTATAATTATTTCAGTTGATTGTAATATTTTGGTTTAATTGTGGAATTTGTTTATAGGCGCGCGTTTGCATTTTTTACTCCATTTCATTTTCGTTTCGTTTTTTTTTTTAATTTTTTTTTTTGCTATATATTTTTTTTTTTGGTTTTTTAATGGTTGTTTTAACTTTTTTTCGGCCGACGAAATTTATATATTTTAATGTTCAGATTTTATTACCGCCCATATATTTTCCATAATATACTCAACGATGCGTGCAACCATAAACACTGGTCATACATATGTACACTATATGTGTACGAGTATGTGCATACATGCTGGTGGCACGTCAGAAGTCAGCCGTTAGTGCAGTTGACTGACTCATCGTTGACTCGTTGAATTTTCCGCACAAATTATTAATTAATTAATTGATGAGTGAGTAAACAAATGGCCAGTGAGAGTTGAATAAACAATTGGGCAAATAAATAAAACAAAAAACGGACGCGGTTGTGTTAAGGTATGAGAGTAAAAAAAGTTAAAAAATAAACCAAATGAAATAAAATAAAAAATAGTAATTTAATTTAAATAAATAAAATTATATAAGAATAAATTTAATTACATAAAATAAAAGAAGCAAAGAAAATAAATGAAAAATAATTTTAAAAAAATTTTATACATAGATTTGCCGCTATAAATCTATAAAATAAATGCTTAAAATTAAAAAAAAAAAATTTACATGATTTTATAACCTTGTTATAGTTGCACAACAACAAGTAAAGCATGCTGCAAGTGCGAAAATACGTTGCAAGTGCAATGATAAATGCATTTATGCAACACAATTTGTCTTATCTCCGCCAAATTATGTGATTTTCCAATCAATTTAACGAGAAATTTAAACGCCGCAGCGAATTGTAGGCATCGCTTGTCCGGTTATCCGGCTGACGGCTGAACGGTGAATACAAAAGCAAACGTGCTGATGGCAGCAATTGCAAGGATTTAATTGTGCGTGAAATGATGCTAAATTTTGCTGCGTCGAGAAGTATTAAAAATGCAGTTGTGGCGCGCAAAAAAAAACTTAGTAAAAATCGGAAAATCGAGTAATAGAGTAATTTTTCGATATTTAAGGTACGCGGCGTATACGCAATTATTTAAGCCGAGCTCATTTAATCACTAATAATTCATTACTGACATAACACTTAAGCGTTTAACACTTCAAACTCACCAATTTCACACTTCACAAAATAATTATTCACTTAATTACACGCCCTTATTTTTCCAGAATCTAAATTTAGTTAAAAATTTCTTTAAATATTGTTTTTAAGTATTTTATTTTAATTTTTTTTAAATTTAATATACAAGTGTTTTCACTGTACACCGAAAGTCTATTTTGATTTTTACTTTTCAATTAAGTTTATTATTAAATACACTTAGTTACTTTCACACATTCTCACGCATCGTTGTGCACAATTCGCGAACTGTTCACGCGCACGCTTTGCCAAACACTGACTGGTCAACGTCTTCGGCGGCATTTTCAATGCTTCGTTCAAGCACGGCGATTTGATGTGGCGGAAAAATCTTTTGCCGGCTGCCACCTTTGCAGACGTCGGAAATATGTTTTGCAGACCAAACGCAAAAAGCTTTCTCCGCTTGAATGCTCTCGCCACGTTGGTCTCTCTCCTGTGAGAGCAAATAGCTGGTGGGCTCTATGGGCCTTATGCTCTGTTTTGCATTGCCGGTTTTGTTTACATCGCAATTGTATGGCTTTAGTGTGTTTGTTGTGACAGCAACACGTGGTTGGCAGCGCCGATGTTTATGTACTTATGGCGAAGCTTTCACAACTCGCAGTTGTGCTCGTAAATAGCTGTATTTTTATTGTTGTTTATTTTTTCGGTTTGGGCTTTGTTTTCTTTTCAGTCTATTCGGGGTTTTGTTGGTGTTTTCTTTGCATTATTACTCAAGGGTTGCAATGTGGTGGCGGCAGAGCACGTGCTGTACTGATTAGGGTTGCCGTTGTGCATGGAAGTGCTTGAGTTTTCCTCTGGATTGACTTTAATTTTTGTATTACATGCATGAGTTTAGAGCAGACTGTAGCAAGGCTAGGCAATAATTGCTAATAATTAGCCATAGAAAACTATTTAACTACTAGTTTCTTAAATATAAGAATGGAAAATCTTCTTGTTTTTGTTATTGAAAATTACCTTTTTTCTCTAAACAATGTACGATTGTCGTTGCGTACTCTTCCGAAGCGGCTGGAGAGTTGTTCATAAATTTTTTTGAGACTTTCGGGGGGGTATGATCATCGGCCAACAACCAATTTACACACCGGGAAGTGGGCCAGGAAGTAACCTATTCGAATGAAATCTTATCAAGACTGATTTTTAGCTATTATCTTTTTGGCAACAGTGATCTAAGCAGCGGGCGCACGAAACGAACAACGCTCGCAAATTATTGAATTTTATTATCAAAATGCGTATTTTACGTTCGGGGCCGGTCAATTGGCCGCCTAGATCGTACGCCTTTGGACTATTTTTTGCGTGGCCGAAATATTGGGAAGAGTATGTCGAATTGGACTAAGCGGATGGACCCTTAGAGGTGCAGTCACGGTCAACATTTGCATGAAAGAATCTTCAAGCATTAAATTATATGTATCGTACATCAATTCAATTGAAGATTTCATACATTTTTCTGAATTTTAAATGATTTTTTTTTTGAAAAGCTTTTCTATAGCTCTTAAAAAATCACCCTTTATTTGACTCGGTTTACTTTATGTTTAAAATTAATAAATAAACATTGAGAAATTGTTTTAAAAGAGGCCAAAGACCGCATAACCCGATAGATGGCACCATACTTAGGTCTAACTTGGTACTTTAATGGAAGATACCCGCGGGCATAAAAGGTATTCATTTGTTTACATTTATGAGCCCAAAAGCCGAGGAACTCCATAACCTGAGCTTGCGAGCCTTTAAAGATTTTCAAAATATAAATAAATTTTGTACCAGGCATATGAGAACACAAAACTCGTGATTTGATTTGAAATTTAATAAATTTGTAGCTTACTTTTCAGATTAACACGCCGAAAATAGTCCTTGAGAAACTCATTTAAAATTCTTTTCTTTCTTGAAAAAACATAGCTTACTTGCTTAAAATAAAGTTTATTCGCTCGACTAAAGCATTCTTCCCGATGGCCAAAGGTACCTAATATGCCCAATGAATTTGTATGGTCAGCCTACGTGGCCAGCTCGTTTGCTGGCTAACTGTTTGTGTTGTTTGTTTTTGCGGCTACTACGACATCGATCTTCACTGATTGCATGTCCGTTCCAATAACTTCACGGCATAATTTGTACTAGCTATATTTAATTATCATTCCGGAGTTATTCCCAAGGCATGGAATTAAGGCGAGGCGAAGTTTACCGGGTGTTCTAGTTTATATACAAAAAGTTGGAGAAAACTCAAAATAAACAAAATAACGGGAGTTTAAAAAAATAAATTTATCCCCAATAAACTAAGAATAATTATTAACTACGTTTCCAACTACGTTTTCCGCAAAAGAAAATATTTTCATATATAATAATATATAATTTTTTTAAATACAATTAAATGAAAACTTCTGCCTCTGGGTAATTCTTTTAAATTTATCTTTAAATTATTTGTATGCTTTTCCCCTGTAAATTATGAAGTGGAGTGTACTTTAAAACTTAGCATAAATTTCGGCGTCGACAGGGTTAGCACTGCGTACTGCGAGGCTTCGAGTCCTTTTGGTTTGCTCCTCGATAGAGAATTTCAAATTTCTGAGTGTATTTCTGATATTTAATAAAGACTACTCATAAAAGCTCATTATTCGGAGGTGGCTTAGAATAAACTGTCCCCTGGTGGGAATATATCGGCACAGACCACAAATCGTAAGAAGAGCGGCAAATCACGTTTTTTGCTGAATTTTATTAATTTAATTGTTTTAAATTCACCTAAAAGAGTACTTAAGGCACTTTTCTTATGTTAAAAATTTTTCTTGAGAGCACTGACTTATTGGATTTACTAGCGTAGACATCATTTACGCGATTATAGCCAAATTTATATCATCACGTCATCGTGGTTTCTTTTTTTTCGCTGTTGGACGCCTATTGGAGATATCAAGTTGAGCCAGGTTCTTCTTCACTCGGTCTTTCCAACGGAGTTCTCCTCTTCTTACACCACCGAGTATTGCATCGAATACTTTCAAACCTGTAGTATTATTCACCATCCGGACCACATGACCTACCCATCGTAGCCGCTGTAACTTGATTCGCTTAACTATTTGAATGTAGCTGAATAACTCGTACAGCTCATCTTTTCATCAAGTGTGGTATGCGCCCTAGACAACGGGCATAGCACCATAAATCTTACCCAAAACCAATGTCTCGAAAACTTCTAACGCCGATTCATCAGATGTTGTCATCGTACATGCCTTGGCATCATATAACAGGATGGGAATGAGGAGCGACTTAAAGACTTTGGTTTTCATTCGTCTTCAAATTCGATTCGATTCCAATTTTTTGAGTCCAAAAATGCCTGCAGCTGTACACTCTTATTGAAAATTGCACCTGGTCTATTTGGCTTTGCTGCTCTTATTAATTCCTTCAGCCTCAAATTAAAGATATCAGATGATAAAGAGTCAGTCTGCTTGAAACCTCGTTTGGTGTTGAACTGCTCACAGAGGTCCTTCCCGATTCTGACGGAGCTTTTGGTGTTGCTCAAGATCCGTTTACAAAGATGTATAAGTTTTGTGGGGATACCAATTTCAGACTTTATAGTCGAGGAAGACGCGACGTGTAGCTCCCCTTTCAAGGATATTTTCCACAATTTTGCGCATGGGGAATTTCTGGTCAATGGATGATTCAAGATCCTCATAAAAATCATTGGCCATTCGGAGGCTGTTCGTAATAAACGTCTCTCCATTCATTGGCGGTACATCAAGAAGTCATCACAAATTGGTGATGTATGTAAATTAATATATTTTTTTTCTGGCAAAATTTTTATTTGACGTAAAATACCAATAAGAAAAGAAAAAAAAATCGGAACAAAAAATAACAACTAAACTCATTTAAACCCTTTAGACTCCGAAATGTCCATAGAATTCTTATAATCCTTTCATTAAAATAACACCACCAGTAGCCGCGGTAGGAACAGATTCAAGCGACTAACCAACCGACCGACCAACTTACAACACCAACACCAACACCAATTAACAGCATAAAAGTATATAAAACAACTTTCAGTTGCCAGCAGCATTCATTCATTTACTCGTTCATTTATTCACCAACAACAAAAGCCGCAATAACAGCAACTGGGAGAAACAAAAGCACCGCGAAAACAATAAAATAATTCTAAACTGAAAAATATTCTGCTGCCTGACCGACTTTATTATAAACACGCGCGAGTTTTTCGGAGGCGTAAGCTAGCAGCTAAGCGCGCAAGTATGCGATGCAACAATACAGTTTTTGACACTTGAACTGGAACCACTTGCCTGCCACCAGCCAACCAGCAAAAACAATGCAACGCCATCAACAGCAACCACCGCAAACTGTGTAATTGTACCGAGAAGTGTAACGGTCATAATCAGAAGGTGTATATTTATGCATGTGTGAATTCCATTTGTTTTCATTTCATCTGCGAGCGCACACACACCCTCGTATATTTCCACATATGTATTATACGTGTATGTATGCTCGCAAGCCGCTTAGTATTTAGCAGCTAAACCGTAAAACCATTCATTAGAGTGTGGAAATTATGGTGCAACTGAAAGCATTTAATTCCATGGCAAACACAATGGAAAGGAGAAAAATAAACTTTGGTTATTATTTATTTAGTTTTTGAATTCTTCTTTACAACTAACTTGAAAGAATATGTTTGTGCAAGTGTATGAAGAAAACAAGCAGCAATAAAGAAATGGCGCAACAAAGGGAATATTAAGTGGAACTTTTATGAGCTTCAGAAGGATTGGTTAATATATGGTGTTAAAGATTTTAGAATGATCAAGTATGGAGGATCGACTCCAATAACAGATGCCTGAATTTTATTTGTGTTAGACATTCTTGAGTCAAAAAGCGAATTTTTCATCAAAAATTCGAACTAAAAAAAATTTTTTTAAATTAGAACTTTCAAATAAATATTTAAAAATACTATTTAAATGCCAAAATGTAAAAATTAAAAGAAAACTAAAAACATTAATTCAAAGTAAAATAATTAAGATGGTAAGAAAGCTGAAGAAATGATTTAAAAATCATAATTAAAAAAACTCCTAACGCCGAGTCACCAAATGTTGCCATCTTCGATGCCCCCGCGCCATATGGCAGGATGGGAACGATTAGACTTGTAGAGTTTGGTTTTCCTTCGCCGAGAGAGGGCTTTACTTTTCATTTGTCTAAGTAGCGCCTTTTGGCAAGAGGGATTCTCCGCTGGATATCTAGACTGGTTCCAAGAGATACCAGGTTTTCTACAACTGCAAAGTTT